AGGAGCAGTGCAGTAGCCGTGACGTTCTCAGGTGGGGAAGGTGGGTGAAAGTCATGCAGCAGCCTCTGCAGAAGCAGCAGCAGGAGGATTAGGAGCACCCGCCTCCTTGATTCGCATCTACCCTGCCTGCCCCCGTTACTGCCCCACCTGCTGCAGCATGCACCTTCGTCGGGCACCGATTTCGCCTCTCCCTGCTGCACTCCAGCTCTGCAACCAGCCGAAGCCGCTGCAGAGAGGTATTCTTATGGACCCATGGGACGGGCGTGGTGATTGTCGGGAGGGCGACTGTGGGGACAGGGTGTCGCTGCTGCTGATGCTGCTCCCTTGAGGTGCCCTTGCGACCCTTCCAAGCTCTCCCATCCCTCGTTCATCCTTTGTGGTTCCTCCCCCCCACACACCTGCCATGGCGCAGCAGAACAGGGCACATTGACGAACACCTGCACGTCGGCACGGAGGGGAGGTGTAACAGGACAAAGGTTGGAGAGGCAAGCCGTCACATACTCAACTGCACACACACAGGGTGCAAGCGGTCACATGGTCAATCAGTGCAAAACACCCGATAATGATCACATCAACATCGGCCGACAAGGAGACTCGTTCCGATTCGATTACACTCGCTCAACTAGACTCACCCTCGTTGTCGCCGAACAACTAAAGGGCGATATCAGATGTATCAGCCTAGATAGCACGTCTTCCTTCGTCTGCCTTTTCAGAAAGCTACTGGGAAGCTCCGACTTCCCTCTTTCTCTTGTGTTCCTATCGTCTCTCTCGCACCCCCTCCCAGATCCCCCCAGTCCCCCCAGGCAGGCGAAGCTGCACGTCCTGTTGGGTGCAGCATGGTCAGCCTCTCCCTAATCGCCCTGCGCCCATCTGCATTCACCATCCAGCAGCACGGGATCGCTCACCTGCACCCTCGTGAACGGCCAGAAACGGCAAGCCAGCAGCAGCGCATCTGCCTCTGCCACCTAACTCCCCACACCCTCCTACTTACCATCTACTTCCACTGAGCGGAAAACCAGAACCCTTACGCCTTCTCCCAGCTCCCTCCTCTCCTCCACTTCCCACTCCCCCCCTCCTCGTCCCCCTCCGTTCCTATCCAACTCGACCTCCCTAATCCCTCTCGTCCCTCTCCTCTCGTCCTCTCCCCCACCCCACCCCCACCCCCCCCTTCCCCGCCTCTCTCTCACCCACTCCTCTCCCCCTCTCCTTTCGCCACCTCCTCGTCCCCCCTCCTCCTCTCTCCCCTCCTTTCCCCCTCACCTCCCTCTCCCACGCCGCTCTCCCACATCCTCCCGTGCTCGACACCCCCTTCTCACGAAAACAACACAACACTCCACACGTCTGCATACCTCAGCACTCCATTGCCACTTGCCTCACCACGCCAAACGAAAGGTCCTGAAGGGATGGAATAAAGGCACCAACCAAGCAAGGATTGGCAGGAGAGGCACAGAATGGAGCGGAGGTGGTGAGGAAGGTGACTTTTGAGGCGCCTCATAAGGGAAGGGTGGTGAGGAAGGTGCACGGAAGGGAGAGGAGGAACTTGAAAGGGTCAGCGGAAACGGGAAAGAGTGCTGCGGTAGACAGGGGATGAATCAGACACAGATGGAGTGAAACAGAGGAGGGTGTGCGGAGGCGAGAGGAAGAGGGGGGGGGAAAAGATCCGAGAAAAGGCTTTCATAGATGAATGCATAGTACAACCAAGGAGCATTGCAAACGATTCGTATGCATGACGACCCGAATCAGAAAAACGGGAAGGGGTGTGAGAAAGAAAGGAAGCTTCTTCCAGCCATGCAGCACCCAACCCAACCATGCAGCACCCAACCCAACCGTGCAGCACCCAACCCAACCATGCAGCACCCAGACATACATCACTCTCAGCAGGGCGCACCTGCTCGGCTACTTGCTGGTCGCGAAGGCTAAGGCCGTCTGGTTGGCAGGGACCCACTGCATGCACGTGCAGCGCCCAGTCCTCCAGCGTGTCGTTGTGGCCTGTGAGAGGATGACAGGTAGCATGAGTGTGGGGAGAGAGTGGGGAGAAATGAGATGGGGGGTGGATTGATGAGGGGAAGAGGTGGGAGGGGGAGGGGGAGGGGGGAGGGGAGGGAAGGGGAAAGGGGGAGACGGGGAGGGGAGGAGGAGAGTAGGATTTTTTCTATAATTCTGAATGTATCGGAAAGGGCATACAGTGAATGGATATTTTTATTCCCCACAACAAGCATAGACGGAGAAGACAATTCTCTCACCAGCACTGTCAAATGACGGTGCCGCTTGCCATTTGCCTCGTGCAGTTCGCCATTCAATTCGCTGCTCGTGCAGCTCCGACGCCTGCGATGCTCGCGTCGCCTCCTCTCGCCTCTGAGAATCCACACGGCGCCGACTTTCTCGGCTTTAGTCACTGTCGCCAATAGGAAGCACTAGGGATGACGAACAGCAGTATTGGTATATTGCGCCCTCAGCTCATCCGGAATCCAAACGACTGAGCAAGAGAGACGTTCCTCCTGAGACTATCCTTTGAGATTACATCACAGCGCAGTTAAGAAAGAAGGGCTGAGTAAAGAATCAAGGCGTTTCCTTGGGGAGAGCAAAGGAGGAGGCTGCGGGTGGAGGAGGGAGAAAAGCGGATTTGCCGTTTCTCTGATGCCTTCTAAGGTCAATTGCGCATTCATGCTTCTCGCGACGGTGGCTCCGGGTCACATAGTTGTGCGATGGTGAGGAGGAGAAGAAGGATGGGGCGGGGGAGGAAGTGCGAGAGTGATGTCTCCTAAAGCGGACGACATTCTGGCATCTCATAGCGAGTGGGGATGAATTATTTGAGCATCAAATGTTAGTGGCATCCTGCCGTTGTTTCTAGTAGTCAACTCAGAATTCGCACGATTAAACTCTGAAACTTATCGCTAGTCCACTTGACATTTTCCGATCGCGATAAGGCAGGTCGTCGAAGGCTGAGAGGCTAGATCACTATGTCGTCGGGTCGCCAGGTCGATAGGGTACTGACTGGTCGCTAGTGCCATAATTCGCATGTTCACATATACTAGCTCTTCGTATGCTGGAAGCAGTACATAACATTCGCGGTAGTGGTCATTAGGGTTTCGCTTGTTCCATTATCGCGAGAGTGAATGAAGAGGACTGTGCTCGTCAAACAGGGTCAGCCACTGCCCTCGTTCGTCTGACCAGGCGGGATTCTTGGGTTCGACACGCCCTGCTGGCACGCCACGCCACCATCGAAACTCATGTCACGTTGGAGTTCGCGAGAGCAGGGTAACTTGACGATACAATCGCAGATCCAAACTCCACGGGTGAATGGGAGGTTGGAATTTGCGAATTCGACGCCGTTAGCGAAGTTGGCCTGTCGCAGCCACGAAGAAATTTGCAAAGCAAATTTGTTGCGGGAAACTGGGACTCTATCCGTTTCCCTCAACTCCAACCCTAACCCTGGATTTCCTCCTAATTTTTAGCTTTCCTCCTCCTTGGACATCCGAGTCGTCTGCACACCAGTAGTATTTGTCTTTTGGTTCAACCTTCTACAGATGTTCACGCACTTCTATTGAGCTTTTAGTAGAAACACTGCTAGTTGCGCACAGCTTCACAACGCCGCTTGTGAAAGTTACCAGCCTTTTCCTGGAAGCTCGCCGCACCAATGACAATCACATCACAAAAATGTGTGCGTCTGGAAATCATCTGACCATTTTTTTTTAAGCAAGCTTCTGAAAATCGTTTGACAATCATCCAGGAATCATTTACGAATCGTTTGTATTGCATTCTTGTCAGACCAAACGTTTTGGTGATGTTTTAGTAACGGTTTCGTGGTGTTACAATGGAATGTTTGTTAGATGTTAATTGTTCAGACAATAATAAGGTGGCTTAAAAGCGTGTTTCACAATCAATGAAGGTTATGGTAAATTGACATAGTTGCTACTTTATTTGCATCACCAGATGAACCTATTGAGCAGCTTCACAGCAGGGTCTTTGCAGCACGGGACAACATGCACGATGCTAAGAATGCAATCTGCATCTACATCACAAAAATGTGTGTGTCTGAATATCATCTGACATTCGCGGCGGCCAATCGTACGTTTAACAATCGTTTGAAAAACGTACACGGAAACTCTAAAAAACGTTTGCCTTTGGCGGGATGTTTTCTAGGCACATTCTGAATGTTTGCTCCTAACTCTTTCTTGCTTGTGCGCAGGATTAGGGTTCCGGGCCTAACAGATAGTCGAGCATGTCACTTCGTGTGGGATTAGATAGCGAGAAATTTTATTCTCTCCTAGAATTCCTCGTTTAGGCTTTTGTGTACCATTTGTTACATTCTTGACATTTGCACTTATGTTTCTTTGAATATGATGATGTAATTTTCTCTATGAAAATAGTGTTTCCAAGAGTTATGTTTAACCATTTGATGGAAATTTTACACCTATTAGATTCTAACAAGGCCTAAAAAGAACATAGTCAGAGAACAATTTCATGTTTACAAAAGTCACAATGCGTCCAAGTTCTCTACCTTCGCTAGACCTCACCAAACGAATCTATTAAGAAGGCTCACTTCATCGTCCTCACATGAGGGAACAATGTGTACGAGACTGAGAATGCAGTCGACATCAATCACTGCAAAATCATCCTCGCCCTCCGTGGGTAGAAGGCGCTTGCATCCCGTTGACGGGCATAGTCGCTTGTCCTCGGTGTAGTACTCCACGTATGCTCCGCGCCTCAGCTCCCCATCTTTGTTGTAGTGAAACAGGACATGACAACGGCCGTACCAGGGGGACCCCTTCCCTGCAGGGTTGATTGCAACGGATGAGAAGTTCTTCTCGCCCGGGCTTGCCTTGACAAACTGCCCCCTTGACGTCCATTCCATCTTGTCGTGGGGCGGAATCGCAAGTGCCGTGTGCACCTGAAACCACGAGCATGAACCAAGAGAATGTGAACGCAGCGAAAGAGGCGGTGGAGAGCATAGCGAAAGGAGGAAATTGGCCAAGGGCTGGAGGGGGTGGAAAAGCATTTTAGAGAGGGTGAAGGGGGGCTGGAGTGAGTGGAAAGCATGCAGGAGAGGGGGAAGGGGCGCTGGAGTGAGTGGAAAGCATGCATGAGAGGGGGAAGGGGGGCTGGAGTGGGCGGAAAGCATGCAGGAGAGGGGGAAGGGGGGCTGGAGTGAGTGGAAAGCATGCAGGAGAGGGGGAAGGGGGGCTGGAGTGAGTGGAAAGCATGCAGGAGAGGGGGAAGGGGGGCTGGAGTGGGTGGAATGCATGCATGAGAGGGGGAAGGGGGGCTGGAGTGAGTGGAAAGCATGCAGGAGAGGGGGAAGCGGGGCTGGAGTGGGTGGAAAGCATGCAGGAGAGGGGGAAGGGGGGCTGGAGTGAGTGGAAAGCATGCAGGAGAGGGGGAAGCGGGGCTGGAGTGGGTGGAAAGCATGCAGGAGAGGGGGAAGGGGGGCTGGAGTGAGTGGAAAGCATGCAGGAGAGGGGGAAGCGGGGCTGGAGTGAGTGGAAAGCATGCAGGAGAGAGGGAAGGGGGGCTGGAGTGAGTGGAAAGCATGCAGGAGAGGGGGAAGGGGGGCTGGAGTGAGTGGAAAGCATGCAGGAGAGGGGGAAGGGGGGCTGGAGTGAGTGGAAAGCATGCAGGAGAGGGGGAAGCGGGGCTGGAGTGAGTGGAAAGCATGCAGGAGAGGGGGAAGCGGGGCTGGAGTGGGTGGAAAGCATGCAGGAGAGGGGGAAGGGGGGCTGGAGTGAGTGGAAAGCATGCAGGAGAGGGGGAAGGGGGGCTGGAGTGAGTGGAAAGCATGCAGGAGAGGGGGAAGGGGGGCTGGAGTGGGTGGAAAGCATGCAGGAGAGGGGGAAGGGGGGCTGGAGTGAGTGGAAAGCATGCAGGAGAGGGGGAAGGGGGGCTGGAGTGGGTGGAAAGCATGCAGGAGAGGGGGAAGGGGGGCTGGAGTGAGTGGAAAGCATGCAGGAGAGGGGGAAGCGGGGCTGGAGTGGGTGGAAAGCATGCAGGAGAGGGGGAAGCGGGGCTGGAGTGAGTGGAAAGCATGCAGGAGAGGGGGAAGGGGGGCTGGAGTGGGTGGAAAGCATGCAGGAGAGGGGGAAGGGGGGCTGGAGTGGGTGGAAAGCATGCAGGAGAGGGGGAAGGGGGGCTGGAGCGGGTGGATTCAGCGGAAGTGCGAAAAAATGGCATATCCATACGACCGGGACTGCACCTGCAAAACTTGCGTGTTGATGCCTGCCCGTCTGAGGCGCAGAACCAACGCACTCATGGCGGGTTCACCAACAGTCAAGACGTAGCTCCGAAACACTGAGTCGGTGATGTCCCCTTGGACCATCTTCAAGTGGGTCTTAGTAAGCACCCTCCGGCCAGCCAGGCATGCCTGTCATCGTGGAGAGGAGAGGGTTGGTATAGGGAGGGGGAGAGTTGTATGGTGAGTGCTTTCGGAGGGAGGAGGAGGGGGGAGATAGGGGATGGATGCGAGGTTTGGGCGAAGGTGAGGGCCAGGGAAAGGGGGAATGGGTGTGGGGGAAAGGGGGGGAGGTTGTGGGGATGAAGATGGGGATGGGGGGGTAGTAATCGATTACTTTGGTTAGGTTGGTCCTAAATGTGATTGCCAACTCACGCAGAGAGCAGGGAAACAGAAATGCGCGCAAAGAGACGGGCGAAGAGAACATGGCATAGAGCAGGGCAGACACTGACGTGAACAAATCAGGGAAACAGTGAAGGGATCAGAGCAGGGCACTGTGCAGGGCAGACACATAACGGAACATGGGGTAACAGTGCAGGGAAAAGAGCAGGGAAACAGAGCAGGGCACCGAGTAGGGGAGACACAGCACGGAACATAGCAGGGTAACATAGCGGATAACAACAAAGGGGAAATGACGAGGGGAACAGAGCAGTGTGAGAGAGCAAGAGAACCGAGCAGGGAAACAGGGTGTAGGAGAGAGCATGAGAACCGAGCAGGAAAACAGGGCAGGGGAGAGAGAAGGAGAACCGAGCAGGGAAACAGAGCAGGGGGAGAGAGCAAGAGTACCGAGCCGAGAAACATAGCAGGGTGGGAGAGCAAGAGCACCGAGCAGGGAAACAGAGCAGCAGAACAGAGTAGGGGAACCGAGCAAGAGAACACAGCAGGGCATCGCTTTAGGAGATCACAGCATCGGTTTAAAATTGGTAAACATACCAGACGACGGGGTGCAGGGGAACAGAGCAGGTCCGTAAAACTCACCTCTTTCATTGAGGTCTCGTACGTGCTGTCCCCGCCGGCCTCCCGCGCGAGTTGCCTAACAACCGCATGCTCCAGGTGTTTCCGGACGATTCGATCTTCAACATTCTTCCAGTTCGTGCCACGTGAAGGACGCTTCACAGTGGTCTTGTGGGAGTGCTCGTAGCAGTTCGACGAGTACTCGGCAGGGATCCCCCGAAGCCGGATGGTTGATGGGAGGTGAACGAGGAGATGGATCTTAACAAGTTTCCACTTTGACTTCTGCTTCGGGAAAGCGACACGAAGAGCCTTCACCATCCTAGGGAGAATTTTAGAGTCAACGCATGCAGTTAAGGGGGGGAATGCAGGCCGAGAAGGGAGAAGCGGGATGCGGGATGGGGAGTGAGGAAGTAGGCTCCGAAAAGAGAAACATGGAAGGAGGGATCAGGAAGGTGGGTTGTATGAGGACAGAGATGCAGTGGAGATGGAGAAGATGGGTCGTGCAAATCCTCAATGGAATGAGGGCAGCCAAAGGTCATGGAGTACTATGGAGCCTGGGGAGGGAAATCATTGCACAGAATGGAGAAAGAGGCGAGTATGAAGGTCAAGCTGGCTGGGAACGGAGCAACAAGCTTGGTAGTGTCCAAACGGGAAACAATGAAGCCTATGAAGGCGAGCCATGAAGTAGGGTGGGTGGAGCATGTAGGGTACGGGCGAGACAATGAAAATGTGTGTGCGTGGCAATGAAGGGCCTGGGAAACCACAAAACAGACGGAGTAGTTACTTGATGGTGGCGTCTTTCATCCGTTCCAGAGAGGCGTCGGTGTGGTACTCAGCGCGGATAAACTCCTTGTACCACTCGACCATCTTGACAATGGCCGTGCGGATATCTTCTCGTCCTGGGAGATTGATGATGAGGGGCAGGACCTGCATCATCGCCCGATGCTCTGAAGCTGAAAAGCAGGCAGTGGATGTGAAGTAGGCCCACGCCGAAGGAAGACGGAGCACAGACGCTGGTGTGGCCTCCTTCAAAATCTTGTATCGCCTAGACGTAGAGCAACAGTTCGACAGGGCGCGGAAAACAAGCACGGAGGTGAGAAGCATGAAGCAGGGCGCGGAAAGCAAGCACGGAGGGGAGTAGCATGAAGCAGGGCGCGGAAAGCAAGCACGGAGGGGAGTAACATCATGGAGCAGGGCACGGAAAGCAAGCACGGAGGTGAGTAGCATGAAGCAGGGCGCGGACAGCAAGCACGGAGGGGAGTAGCATGAAGCAGGGCGCGGAAAGCAAGCACGGAGGGGAGTAGCATGAAGCAGGGCGCGGAAAGCAAGCACGGAGGGGAGTAACATCATGGAGCAGGGCGCGGAAAGCAAGCACGGAGGGGAGTAACATCATGGAGCTGGGCACGGAAAGCAAGCACGGAGGTGAGTAGCATGAAGCAGGGCGCGGACAGCAAGCACGGAGGGGAGTAGCATGAAGCAGGGCGCGGAAAGCAAGCACGGAGGGGAGTAGCATGAAGCAGGGCGCGGAAAGCAAGCACGGAGGGGAGTAGCATGAAGCAGGGCGCGGAAAGCAAGCACAGAGGGGAGTAGCATGAAGTAGGGCGCGGAAAGCAAGCACAGAGGGGAGTAGCATGAAGCAGGGCGCGGAAAGCAAGCATGGAGGGGAGTAACATCATGGAGCAGGGCGCGGAAAGCAAGCACGGAGGGGAGTAACATCATGGAGCAGGGCACGGAAAGCAAGCACGGAGGTGAGTAGCATGAAGCAGGGCGCGGACAGCAAGCACGGAGGGGAGTAGCATGAAGCAGGGCGCGGAAAGCAAGCACGGAGGGGAGTAGCATGAAGCAGGGCGCGGAAAGCAAGCACGGAGGGGAGTAGCATGAAGCAGGGCGCGGAAAGCAAGCACAGAGGGGAGTAGCATGAAGTAGGGCGCGGAAAGCAAGCACGGAGGGGAGTAGCATGAAGCAGGGCGCGGAAAGCAAGCACGGAGGGGAGTAACATCATGGAGCAGGGCACGGAACAACTCACTCCAAAAGAATCTTCCGTTCTTTCGGAGTCAGCTTCATCACAAGGCACTTCATGGCATGCAGCCATATGCCCTGCTCCCAGATGTGCATGATGTCCGGGGGGACAGCGAGGTACGTGTTGCCCCAGAGAGTTTTTGCGAATTCCCAGTCCCACAAAAGGCTCTGCGTTGGGGGTCAAGGACACAGAGTCACTATGGCGGGTCAGGGTAAGAAATACGAACATCAAGCTGCAGATTGGATTAGGTTTTCAAGCATACTAGCCATTGGTGTATACGGTGAGGGAAACCTGATGTAGACCGCTACGATGCACGCAGTACAAGCGCACCTTCACAAAGTGTGTAGAGGACTTCTTCTTCACCGCCTTCAAGGCCTTTTTGGTCTTCGCGGCTTTCATCTCCTTGTAAAAATCCGTCTGACCCTTGACAGTTCGGAGGACAATGGTGTCTTCCTGCTTCTTTTTGGTTTTCGCAGATTCCTTCTGTCCCTCGACATTTCTGGGGACAATGGTCTCGTCCTGCTCGTCTAGGCGCTTCTTATCAGTTGGCTGTTGAGTCAACTCAAAGTTCATCTCATCCAGGCGCTCCATTTCAGCCAAGCACAACGAGCACGGATGGTGTGAGTTGCATGCCATCGTACAAGTGATCTTGGAAGACTCCGGGTGATCTGCCACCCATGAATAAAGGAGCGTGAATGCTCTATACTGCACACCCGCACTGTCTTCCACCATCACACCGCCCCTGCAAGCGGCCAGGATGAGGGGGGAAACAGGGGGGGGGTAAAGCGAGGATGGGAGAACATGTTAGATATGTCAGAGATGGTGTGAGCATGGGTTGCGGTAAGCAAGCAGATGAAGGACGGTTAGGAGGAGGGGGACAGCAAGCATGGAGGGTTTCAACGCCCAGGAGACGGTGTTCGGGAGGAACCGGAATGGTATTAGGTGAAGCATGGTGGCTGGCAGCAGAGTAATGACTGAATCCGGCGTCATGGGGAGCATGTGAAAGAAGAACAGAGGAGAAGGGGGGTCAAAAAGGGAGGGGAGTGTGTATGAATCAGGCAATGAAAATGAGTAGGGTAGTGGGGTGGATTCTGGAGAGTACAAGGGATGCGCGCCTGTGGGCGAGAGTAGCAGTGTCTCACCCCGAAAGATGTGAAGCCGCCTTTAAATCTCGAATCATGATTTCTGCAGCGTCCTGGAACACTCGAACCTTCTCTTCTGGCGAGAGGTCAGCTGGGATATTAGGCAGGAGCCCGAGAAGCTCAGTGCCTCCTTCAAGCCACCTAGCCCATTCTGGAATGTTCCCAAAGGACAACAGAAATGGGTGGGCAGATTGGCGCCCGTTGAACGATAGATTGGTCTGGTCCGAGAACAGAATGAGCGCTATAACTATGCCAAACTTCCGCACCCTTTCCTGCCACAGTGATGTAAAAGGCAAGAAAAGATGTATTGGATCCTAGGTTTCGATGCTCGTGTCCAACGCAACATGAGATGGCGTGGAACTTACCCAGGCCTCGAGCATCCAATCCGTGTTTGCAGGGGTACTGTAGCGGCGAACCCCATCAACCTTCCACTCGTGAGGCATGATGCTGAATCCCTTGACAGCCGACATCTTCTTGAACATGGCTTGAAGGAGCTGAGGGTGTTAAATATGGAAACAATGATGGAAAACAGAAGCGTAGGATTGATGGTTCCCTTTGGACCCATGGTTTAGTCGTCATCACTAAACACATTCCATTATGACGAACGTCACACTGCACTAGGGATACACTCACAGTTATCGCGTTTCGGCGCTTGAAGGTGAGAAACCCAATTTCGTGATCCACTTCGATCTCCTCGACGATCCATTCGTTCTCCGCTCCAAGGTCAAAGCTGTTCTCGTACTTCTCCATGTCCCTGTAGCTGTTCCAATCGTCCAGCTGCGTTGGATCTAATTTCGGATGTCTAACTAACTGTATCGTGTCGTTTATCGCCCCGTTGGTAAGGCCGTGAGATCGTGCCAAAATGCATATTTCTGCCTTAACATCGAGAATCTCCTCTGTAGGAGCTTCTTCCCCCACGAGTGTGGTGCTACACGTAGGGACTGCATCTGGAACACGCTCAGCCGGCTGCTGGTGCTGCTCAACTCCGTTCGGAACTGCTGCTAAGGGAATCGAATGCCTTGGCGCGGGAAGGGTTGCTGTTGCGAACGGGACAAAGGTATACTGCCTCTCAACGTCAAGACCCAGCTTCTTTCGTTTAGCAGCCTCTTGAGCCTTGCGTCTTTGGGCCCGCTTACAGCCTCCATGGTTAGCTTGATGGCTACGTACTGTTTGATAGCAGTACACACGCTTATTGCAGAACTCGCAACCCTGACCCTCCATTGAGCATATCTGTCCCCAGTACTGAATGGTGTTTGGTGGACCAGTTTGGGATGTGAATGGTAACACTGCTGTCCGTGGTGGTGAGATAGCGGCTGATCGTAAGGTCGATAGTTTACCAAAAGGCGTGGGAAGGATTTGGCGCGAACATGAATGGCGATCCGAGATTCGAGTGATGTTTCTGGTGACCCCTACTGGCGCTTGGTCATCCAGTGTCAGAAGTTGGGTGGGTTGCTTTAGGTTTGGGTGTGAAGCTGCTCGAAGCGGCAAATCACAATGTTTTTTGGTGCGCGACAACCGCGCTGTTGGGCGTTTTCGCCAAGCGACGCTCATTCTCAGCATCTCCTGGTGTAACTGGGTTCGCATGCACAAACGTGCTTTCGCGTCTGGGCAGTCCGACGAGGTTTGGTAACCGATTGCAAACAAGTTGGCGAGGTTCGTTTGCGCTTGCGACCTCGACTCGACCTCTCTGTCACCACCATTCCCACTCACACGCCAACTGTGTCAGAAACACACAAGCCGCAACAACGCGATTGGATCAGAAAATCCTGTCAGACTGCCCAACACTATTCACCATGTTGACAGAATATCAAAAGCACGCTATTCGTTGACGACGTATGGGCGCATGAATTTAGCACAAAGTTGACCAATAAGACGCCGTGTAAGAAACAAAGGTGCAATGCCAGGGCGTGCGTCTTTGTTTCAAGAACTCCAGTGCCTTCTTCGACTTTCCGACCAACTGGCTTGGCCACTGAATCTCGACCCTTAGCTAGCAGGATCTTGCACTTCGCATGAGTTTGCTAACTCGAGGAATGGCGGATGAGGACATACCCAAGTTATCGCGATGTTGTTTCCAGCAAATGAGCATGCCATCTCCGTTTGGAGGGGGGTGGCTTGAAATCAAGCCCTCGGATTACCGCACGTTGGGAAACGAGCAGTGGATTAGTGGAACGATTATCGAGTGGCTCTTATCGTGAGTCGTTTGCAAGTAATAGTAAACGGAAATGCTTAATCTTGCTTTTAGTCACTTACTGGCTACCTCGACTTACTATAATTCCATGTCGTACGTGCAGGATGTTACAGTATGAGAGCGGACTCGACAATGCCTCGTGGCTTTGCACATCACCTTATTTCTGGACCCTCGTAGCGCGGCCGGGGTCTAAGAGGGTCACTAAGCAGGCATATGGACTTGACATCTTATCGTTCAAGCACGTGCTTGTTCCGATAAACTTGGAGTAAGTGCTTGGCATTTTTAATCATGATTTGAATGTAAACTACGTTGCAACTAACGAACGTGTTTGTCTCGATTATGCAGTGCGCACTGGAGCCTTGCTGTCATCGAGATTAAACATGATCCGGGGTCCCTTATCCCGATCAAGTGTGTCCTGTGGCATGCGGACTCATATGCAACTCACGTCGACATTGATGGACCCTTGAGAAAGTGAGATTCATGCTGGTAATAGAACCCCTTGTTAAAACGTACCTTTCTCAACACACCTTTCTTAAGGAGCTACTTTTATGAGCAATCCGTGTCAATGCGCAGGTGCTTGATGAGGCAGGTCATGAAGCGCTACGCATGGGTCACGGAGTCAGAAGCGACGGCGTGGGCAGCATCGATCCAGTTAAACGCCATCGATGTATGTGTATGCACGCCGTGCATCTAGCGGATGAGTGGAGGAGTGTGGTGTGGGATAGGCCGCGCATGGACAGGCATGGGATGCGCGGATGAGAAGGGGAGGGAGAGTTGGGAGCTGCGCATGCACAGGCATGGGATGCGCGGATGAGTAGGGGAGGGAGTGGTGGGAGCTGCGCATGGACAGGCATTGGATGCGAGGATGAGTAGGGGAGGGACAGTTGGGAGCTGCGCATGGACAGGCATGGGATGCGCGGATGAGAAGGGGAGGGAGAGTTGGGAGCTGCGCATGCACAGGCATGGGATGCGCGGATGAGTAGGGGAGGGAGAGTTGGGAGCTGCGCATGGAGGCGCATGGGATGCGCGGATGAGTAGGGGATGGGAGAGTTGGGTGCTGCGCATGAACGAGCTTGGGATGCGCTGATGAGGAGGGGAGGGAGAGTTGGGTGCTGCGCATGAACAAGCTTGGGATGCGCGGGTGAGTAGGGGATGGGAGAGTTGGGTGCTGCGCATGAACGAGCTTGGGATGCGCGGGTGAGTAGGGGATGGGAGAGTTGGGTGCTGCGCATGAACGAGCTTGGGATGCGCGGGTGAGTAGGGGATGGGAGAGTTGGGTGCTGCGCATGAACGAGCTTGGGATGCGCGGGTGAGTAGGGGATGGAGAGAGTTGGGTGCTGCGCATGAACGAGCTTGGGATGCGCGGATGAGGAGGGGAGGGAGAGTTGGGTGCTGCGCATGAACGAGAGGGGGATGCGCGGGTGAGTAGGGGATGGGAGAGTTGGGTGCTGCGCATGAACGAGCTTGGGATGCGCGGGTGAGTAGGGGATGGGAGAGTTGGGTGCTGCGCATGAACGAGCTTGGGATGCGCGGATGAGGAGGGGAGGGAGAGTTGGGTGCTGCGCATGAACGAGAGGGGGATGCGCGGGTGAGTAGGGGATGGGAGAGTTGGGTGCTGCGCATGAACGAGCTTGGGATGCGCGGGTGAGTAGGGGATGGAGAGAGTTGGGTGCTGCGCATGAACGAGCTTGGGATGCGCGGATGAGGAGGGGAGGGAGAGTTGGGTGCTGCGCATGAACGAGCTTGGGATGCGCGGATGAGGAGGGGAGGGAGAGTTGGGTGCTGCGCATGAACGAGCTTGGGATGCACGGGTGCGTGGAGTAGGAGGGGGGGATGTAGAATGCAGCTCATGATGACGCCTAATCGAAGCACCATCCGTTACTTGTGCGTCCTGCAGGTGCGTCAGCAGGACAACGAGAATGACTGTGGTGTTTTTGTAATGCGTGTCATTCATACGCTTGTCGAGACCAAGTTCGACAGCTTGAATGCGTGTGTCTTGGCCGGGACACCAAGACAGTGGAGGCGCCAATACCGTCACGACTTGGCTAAGTGGTCCTGTGTCTATCACAAGGCATGTGCCACGGTACATGCTGATTGATACCCTTAATCCTGCTCAGTGCTGGTTAGTGACATGCATTAGCACCTGACGATCATTAGTAATGTAATGCTCATTGTTAGTTGTATACTTGCATACCAATACGGTAACTGATTAGCACCAGATGGTAAGCTGTAAGCCAACCATTACATAGTGTCAGGACACTTGGGGGCACAACATGGCGGGAGACGAGAGGGCTGAAGTCATGCTAAACCTGATGAGTAGGCTGAAGTGCAGGATGCTGGCCAGTATTGCTGAACAACGTCCAATAGGGATGGCAGGCAAGCTTCACCTACTGTACACTTAAATGAAAAACGTCCTACCTACCTCTGCGCACAAGATACGATGCTTCGAATCAGCTAAAATGTGTAGTAATGTGACCCAAAGGCCTGCTCTATCTTCCCCATGGCTGCAACATGTACACCGCATGCGAGTTGTTGATATTAACGCGAGAGTGATTGCTATCGATTACGAACGTTGATACTGGACCCTGACGACCATAAGATGATGCGGTTATTGATGCCACGCCATGTATTCACCCTATATTTGAGACTAAAGATGCAGGATATTTAGAGATGTGCAATAATGTGGCATCCAGAACACTGCTCGAGGACGTTTGCTTCTGACGTTTCGTGATACTAATTATATTGCTGAGGTTGTTATGAAACTATATTTTGATGAACGGATGTTACTTTGTATGGCTTTGATCCTGTAAGTTTGAAAAACAATGTCACCGGAATATGCAAAACTCATACGTCACGACACGTGTAACATTCCTCCTTCAACTCGCATCGCCACGGAAGCGAGGTTCCAACGCTACCGCGAGGTGTATTCTCGAGCCGCGATTTCTTGAACCAATCCGGTTCCCAACGCACATCGTGCACCGACAAGCGCCGCCAATTTGCTTTTGTCACATTGCTTTTTTTGGGCCCGGCAGTTTTCCAATACCCGTTAGGCTGCCGAAGTACTTACTAGTTATGGTCCAGCTTTTAGAATGCAGAACAAGCAGTGTTGGAGAAACGGCGTTCTAGCCCATTAGGCTGCTGTTGCGTAGTATTGTAAACACTGACTGCCAGCGCGTTCCATGCAACTTCAAGGGCAGCAAAACTGTGGCGCTGCATTCCCAACCAAACCCCACTACCCAACGTGCTTTCATCCGGTAGTTCATTACAGGAACAAGCATCTTGATGCCACCGGAAGTTGAGACCACGGACCTTTCACGTTCGAAGCACCTCGTAGTAAGGCCTGCTGGTATTGGTTGCAGTTCTCGACACGATACTCTCGTACGGAAGGCACGTCAAGCAACGACTTCCTGTTAGTCGAAGTCGATGTTCCCCTTGGCGCTTCAGCTAGAGGTGCATTTCTGTTAGTGGTAGGCACGTATAGCAGTCCCGCATAGCCGTTCGCGTAGTAGGCACGTCATGCTTTGTCGCGGTGGTGTTGTTCTCAGCAAGGCGCGTCCAGCAATGGCGCGCCGCTGTCCTGGCTTGTACGACGCGATTCACGGCCACGTAGTGAGATTGCGTGCTGCTGTACTGGTTGGCACGTCCAGCTTGCGCGATGCGGTACTGACCGGCACGTCCCGATTGCGCGCTGCGGTTCCTTGCTCCTTGAATACCTATTTGTACAAGATTGGTTCTATAGGGAAAGCACTCCTCAGTTTCGTAACTGTTAAACGGTCAAATTTAGCGTCATTGCTAGCAGAATGGCGGACATCGGTGTTATCAATCAGCAAACCAATGCTAGTGCGCCCCTCGAGAGCGCAGGAGCTTTACAACAACCGGGCGACGCTACTACCGAAGCGGAACAGAGGCTGCATGACACGATGACACCTTACAATACCTCTCAGCTAGTTGTGAGGTATCGCCGGAGGAACACGTCTACTGCGCGCGATGCCGAGGAGTCGGAAGGTGACTCTTCATCGGACAGTGATGATTCTGAGGACGAGCCTTATGCTAGTCGCGGAGGATCACGTGGGGGGCGGAGGGGTCATAAGCTGAAGCCCTTAGACCAATTCAAACGTTCTTCAGATAAGAAAGGTAAGCGACAAGCTCTTTATATCGTTCTTGTGTCTTGTCTTATCTGTTTTACCATAGCTCATCATTAGCGTGATTGAATACGGACCCAAACCAGAGAGGTACTGCACTTGTCTGACACGAGCAGCTCCTATCTATGTTTTTGGGTAGTAGGTACCCTCGTTGCCAAGAAAGACAAAAAGGGGAGACAAGGGGATGTTGACGAAGTGGAGCACCCGTCTGCGAAAGGACATGAACGCGAGGGCGAGCTTGAGGGCGAGCGTGAAGTTAAGGGTGACGCATCCGCACCCTCAAGTGCACCGGATGATCGACCGGATGGTGCTGAGATAGATCGAGGTCATGTGGGGGGTGGACGAGAGAGCCGCGGCGCGGAGGAGGGGGGTCAGGGAGGCGTGTCAGGGAGAATGAAGTCACGGCGCCGCAGGGCTGGGACGAAGAAAACCGTCAAGGAAGAGTCTTCCGATGGCGACAAAAGTGGGGAGGAGGAATTGGGGAGCTCCTCCGGGAGCGAGGAGAAGTATGATGATGAGGAGGAAGACGAAAGCGAGGACGCGGAATTGGAGTCGGAGAGTGAGGAGGAAGGCAGGAGAGGGGGAAGCAAAGCTCGGGGTGGACACCGAAAGGGATCGAGGGGAAAGCGTGGTCTCACAAGGAAGGAAAAGAAAGGCCGTAAGCGGGAGAGGGCCCGGGAACATGCAAGAGCGCAGCGCTTGGAATGTGGGGAAACCAGGGTGCGTAAGGAGCGGCGTATTTTGAGTGCCGATCTTGGGTTCTACAGCAACATGAGAGTTTTGGGGAACACAGCAGATGCTACAACGGAGAACCGACGGGAGAACATTAGGATGAAACGGGGGGCTTCAGACGACCCCTATGCTGCACTCGCTGCAGGGTCCTCATGGGGAAAGGGTGGCCAGCCGGTTCGCGGGCGGAGTGGCGTGAAAGTTGAACTCCATCGTGCTGCTGACAATAGCAAGCATGGTGGAATAGACGATCTGGAGTGCAGCACTAGGCAGGGGGTCGAGCGGAGCAGTGGCGTGCAGGTCGGACACCAGCAGCGCGCAGCTGCAAATGACAATCATGGTGCAGGATGTCAGCCAGGTGACAGACCTGATATCTTGCCTGACCTTGCGGGAGACTCCGCACGGCGCACGCAAGAGGGTGAGGCGATTGTATTTCCATTCGGTAGCGCTGCTCTATCACCCAACAGTAGCATGCAGCAATTGTTTCAGGCATTGCAGGAGGCCAACAGGAAGATTGCGGAGCTGAAGGCTGCTCCAAAGCCTGTGGGAAATACGGCAGGAGTAGGAACACCGGTTCCACCTCTGCAGGCAATATCCAGAGAGCTGCACTCCCAGGAATCTGCGCCTGTGTGTGTGGCCGAGAGTGCTGTACAAGGCCAGCCAATCGCCAGGAGACATGGGATGCCTACTGCCACGAATTTGAGGGTAGGTTGCCCTCACATAACTGGTCTCTCTGTTTCCGCATCGTTTCGAGCCTCTTTCATCACATGTTTCTTCCATACCCCCATCGTTGTTTCCCCATTCACTGCATATATGTCACACCCCGTCCAACTCAGTTTCCCCTTTACTATCATGCCTGGCTCCATCATTAACAGATATTTACCTGTTATAAGTAGGCAGAATGGGCTGCATCATGCCTGGCAGCCCATCCTCGGGTCTCCATCTTTCTGTTTTGCATCACATTCATCTCTGTTTGTCACATTCGAAGCATGCACTGCTCCCCATGTATCATATTCTGCACCTTCTCTGCATGCCATGCGAACCTTAGTTCCCGTTTTCCCCTTTCATTGGATGTTCCCCAACACCCCGTTTTTTGGGAACACTTCATTAGCTCTACATCGAAGAAACCAGGGATCGCATGTGTATGGAAGCTGAGGACCACGAGATCAACTTCTACCCATCGTTTGAGAAGAGGATCTTGGTCTTGCATGCGGTTATATCGGAAAACTATGTGGTGTCACTGCTTCAGTTGAAGGAGGCCATGCAGGACCAAAAGCGCATTGACACTTTCAAGCGAGTATGGACGCAATGGAAGAATGAGCGTGCATTCTACATCAAAAGGGCGGTGCTCGAGGCTTTGGGGGTGGCAGTTACCGGACTGCGTGCCTCGGAGTTACACATCGATGTGGAGCTGAAGTGCGACCTGTGGGACACCTACCGCCCTGGTGAGTATTTTATTGCATTATTCTTGTTGTTGCATGAGTTCGGGCAGCTTACACCCCATCCTACTTCCCTGGTCAATGTGTTTCTCTTCAGTTTTGAGTCCTCCTTTCATTCATCCGGCTGGTATGGCATGCGAATACCCCAGTGTCCCCTCCCTGACCTCCCCCTAAACATCGTAGGTGCTGATGATCCCCTAAGCACCTGGGGGAACGATGATGAGAGTGGCCTCCCATTTGCAAACCAGTGTTTCTTCAACGCTGCCATGGACGCGTTTGGTGAACATGCTGTGGGGACAAAGCTGTGTCTCAAAGCATATCATATCGCATGGATCATCATGGTGGTAAGTTACCTTTCCCCCTTCAACCCAAGCCCTTACCCATTCATTTGCGTTTTCTAGCAACCCTTTGTGCACTACACCCGTTTAGACTAAGTTTCTTGTTTCTTTGAGTGCACTGCATGGTGCACTACATAGTGCACTACATGGTGCACTCACGGTTTCCTACTACATGCATGTATAACACCTCCTGTTTACTAGATTCACCCATACCGGCTTGCTCCCAACCCCATTTTGCGTTTCCCAACAGTGCTGGTTTCTTGTTCAAGTTTTTTTCATTGATCCTTTAAACCCAGCATGAATGGCAGCGACCCTGGCTCTCTATATTGTTGTCTTAGCATGCACCACACTTCAGCCCTGCACCCCAATGTCAGCAAGATTCTGCCATACACCTTTTATTGTTACCACCTTGCATGCTTAGGCTCTCAACCGATCCCTTACTGTGTTTACCATCCGTGCATGCCTTGCATGGTGCTCCCATTACTTCACTGCTTCCCATGCTTGAACCATGATTGACAAATCATTGAATGCCCTCCTGAACAGATCGATTATGGGCTGTCCAAAACGAAGAAGACAACCATGAACCTCACCAACTCCCATCGCAAGAACACCAAGTGGGTGACAAGTGTCCGCGCCATTGTGAAAAGGGTGGTGAGGGATCACTTCACCCGGGCCAGTCCGACCTACAACCCACGCATGAAGGGATTTGAGTGGGGGCCATTTGGCCTTTTTGTCCACGAGTCGGGCTTTGAGGAGTACAGGAGCACGCGCACTCCGGGTGCAACGGACATGTAAACAGTGCGAGCAGAGGAGGACCAGCAGTGGGGTGCCATGGAAGCAGCAGTGGAGGGGACAACTGCTGAACCGGACCGGGGTGTGATGTGGAGGAGAATCAATGGGGAGAGCAGCGTAGGCACGAAAGAAGGGGGAACAGCGGAGGCATTGCAG